TTTTGGATAGTTTACAGGGACGCGTATATTTTAAGTCGTCTGCGGATCACACAAAATGCTACAAACCTTAAAATACAATTTATAGTTCTAAAACATTCATGACAAAAAATAATATTTTCGATTCAGTGGGAAATTACCCAAGATTTGTCGGTTTCATTAAACGTCGTCAATTGTGATCCTGACGCGTATTCTGCAACTAGAACATCATTCCAGCATTCCAAACACCATATTGAAGTTTTTTTGAATTTGCTTTTGGTGGACTTAGCTGATCTCCTTTCCTTTCCTGACTGCTAACTTCCAAAGCTATTTTTGTGGTATCGCAAACAGTGCAAAACTCGGTTTTGCGTCAATAATTACCTTTTCTGTAGACCAGTGTGATCGCAACTTTCTGCGATACCTAAACAACAATCGGTAATCTTTAAAATGGGGAGAAAATTTGTATTCGGGTGATTTTTTCTTTTGTTTTCCACCCAAATTATTGGAGAGAATTGAGTGATTTATGCAATGGAAGCCTTGACAGTCGTGATTCGAACGCCAAAAATGAGAAAAAAATTCCAGAGTTGAGCAAAAAAAATCCCAGTGTTCCAGTGTTTGAAAACTTTGATTTTTCGTCTTAAATCAAGCGACCAAAGCGAGCGAGCAGGCTTACAATAGCTTGTTTTAATCGCTTAACAGCTTACAACAGCCTAAATTAAAATGTAAATATTTAGTTTTAGTCGAACAACGTTAGTTTTTTTTTAGTATTTTAGCGTCTTTTTGGAATCAAAAAAATTCGAGCTGCAAAAATTTTGAAAATTTTTCTTTTGATTATTTTTCGTTTTTCTAGTCATTTTTGTATAAAAATTGTTTATCATCTGGCTTGTTTAACTATGCCTCTCGAATATGCCTCCTTGCTAGCTAATTTTTTGTTCATCTCCCTTTATTGCACTACGCTAAAAAAACCTTTAATTGAATTTTTTTTTCTCATTTTTAAGACTATGGTTATCCTATGTTATGCCCTTTTTCATAGCGTGGAAAAAATATAATTTGAGTACTTACCGGGAACTCGAAGCGGCGACGCTCAGGAAAAAAAGTTGAATCTAATTTTAAAAAACGCCTGCAACAGAAAAAGAACTTCTAGTGCCCCACGAAATTTCACGCTCCAAGTTTGTTCTTCTAAGTTTAACTGGATGGCTAAATATATTGTCAAAAAACGTTAGACGGCGCTAGGAGGCACTTAGCACAGTGGTAAGGCGTTCACTTTGAAATCGTCAGATCGTGTATTCGATCCCATGCCATGGCAATGATAGTGTGTGAGGACAAGCTCTCGCTTGACCTCCAGCTTCAGGTCTACCACAACCTGACCAAATTTGGCTGCAATAATGGTACCACGTGAAAAGTTCTAGGCGCGAAAAAACGGCCTTGAGTCGCAAAAAACAGCTTCACTCAGCAAAATAACACTGTTTGGAATGTGGGGAGATAATAAAAATGGACTATCCTCGACAGGACTGTTAAGGCCTACTGATAGCTCCTCTGCGATTCGCAGGAACTAGAATTAATTAATTAATTAATGTTGTCGTCAGAAAAACATTCTGAGATCAGCGTGATAAAAATTTCGAGATCGATGCGATAGCTTTTGCCGTGTCATCCGTTTTCTGGATGTTGACGAGACTGTCATTTCAAAAGTCTATCAAATCAATAAATGAGAATATGACTAAAATGCAGCCAATGTAAAAAATGTAACTGTGATATACTGAGAAAGTGAAGACTACCAGTGCTTGAACTTAAGAAAAAATCACAACTTCCTCTGTGTCTATCATCTAATTTTCACTCACCTCACATAGACTTTCACTTTTTCTCAAATATATCGATGAGCGGTGCATCTAAGTAATATTTGCTCGTACAGAATATTCCTGAAATTGAATCTCATTCAAGATATGTTAGATTGAAATACAGACGCGAAACTGAGCTTCGCACCACTGGCGATAGAAAACAAGAAAGTCGTTTAGTCAGAAAATCAAAAAAAAATTAAAATGTCAAAAAATTTTTGTTTCAAATCAAAAAAGTCAAAAAATTTAGGCCTATTAAAAAATACGGCTAGTTTTTCAATTAAAAAAAAACATGCTAAGACAATGGAATGTGAAATGAGCATCGGAAGAAAATTTACCAAACGGTAACAAAGCTGAAAAATACCTTGACAGAAATCCTGTAGGCCAAAAAAAACCAACAAGACTTAAGTTAATAAGTCTCCCTCACTCTCAGAACACAGACATGAACGCACAATTTTTTTCGCTCGTCGAAAGACGCAATATGGTCGGCCATTAAACCGATATAGTATAGGTCAAAAGATATCAAGACGAAAGAAAAGTAAATTGTTGTCATGAAAAACTGAAGTAGAATTTCTATTAAGATTTTTAGCATTTTTTGCGATCCAGAGGTGAGCATAAAAGTTTTGTTTCCTTGAACCGAATTGAAAATATTTCAGTAAGTTGATGAAAAATAGGTCGAAATCCTTTGGGCAGAGTAAAGGTTCTCAGCGAAAAAAAAAGATATAAAAATACCAACATCAGAGTTAAATCAGAACACTAAAAGCAACTATAATGTTTAAAAAAACTAAAAAAATAAAACAACGATTATACAATATGACGACTAAGACGAAAAAACTTAAGAGGAAAAATAGTGAGCCGACAATTTTGTTGTGACTTAGAGTATCTCCCATTTGAAAAAAAAGGTCCTGTCAAATTCGAACCCAGGACCTTTGCCGTCCTAGGCGTATTTTTTACCTCCAGACCAAGTGTGCCAAAGACACAAAGAAGTTAGAACTAAGAACTGCACCTAATTTTAACATTTCCGATTGTGACCATTCTCTGCCTTAAGTTATTTACGGGAAAAAAGTCTAGTACCCAAATGCAATACTCTTGCTATTGCAAGGGTAATAAAGCTTTCAAAAAATTAACAGCGTTTTCAACTTTTTTTTACAGAATAGAACACTAAAACCGTGGCAAATGATAGAATGAATCAATTTTACTTTCTCTCCACGTTTTGGGAAAAGCTATAAAAACAAGAACTACCGGTTGCTGTCCAAGTAATACAGAAATTTCTTGCCTGTTGGTTTGCCTCAATTTTGTCAAGTATCGGCTATTATTTCCCACTTGAATCATATTTCCCACTATTATTTCCCACTAGTCTTAACTAACCTGTCAACATCCTATGAATAAATTTTGCGCAATTTATTTATGACAATCATTTCAAAACGCCGAGCGACGTGCAGTAAAATATTTTAAGGGGCAGGGGTCTGTATGAAAACTTTCGTTTCTTCAGGAGCCCATTACATTAGATCATGAACAGGATGCATGAACAGGATATAATAATAGAGCTCAAAAATAAATTTGTTTTAACAAATAATCAAAAGCAAATATGAAAATTCACCGTACAATGTCTGAGAATTCAATCAAATGAAACAAGCAATAGACCATCAAAAACCGAAAAAAATTGACAGACATTTCTATTGCCGGTGAAAAATCAGAAAAAAAATGCTCGAAAAAAGGTAAGTACACAAGAAAAATACAGATATTTTTGTAAACTACAACAGTCTTATTGACTTAAACTGCATAGAAAATATAGGCGAAGCCCCTCTACACAGACACAAGCAATAAACCTCCAAAAACGGCTCTAAAAAGACAAAAACGTAAAAAGGAAATATATCTAAAATAAAAGTTTTCTGAGCCGAATTTGAACCAGTGACCTCGATGTTTAAAACTTTCCACCTTCCCATTTGCTCCTGAATAGATACAAACACTAACCACTTTGAAAGCGGATGACAAGAAAATGTTATTAAATACATGCCATACTACAGTGTACACTTTTATTTTCACTTAGAAAAAAGTGAATTCGTAAGTACAAAAATTTGATTGCTAGCTCGCATGTGTAAACATTGTGAAATATGATCTAAGACTTTCCGCTTAAAATGCCTTAACATTTTCCGCTTGAATCCCTTTTTATAGCTTTGAACTAAAAGTTTAAGCCTTTTATTTAAATTTTTCTCAGCAAAAAGAAAACATTTAGTTTTTAAATGCCGTTTCAATCACGAACTGAAAAGGTTTTAATATGATATATCACTCGACTCATTGCCATGATTATTTGTGATAACTTTTTTTGAGTAGAAAAAAATTTCAAAAAATTTTAAATCCTCCTGAAGACAAATTTCCTAGTCACTTTCAGTGATCGGCACATTTGAAAAATTTCTCTAAAACGAATTGACTTTAGTATAAATAGACCAACAGGGCCCCTACAGCCTCAAAAACCGAACAAAGCTAGACTCGAAGTCGCATGTAAAATTGTAATAGTAACAACGTTTCAAAATTAACTCTTGGGTCTCCTTAAGAGTCATTAGATGGACTTCTACGTCAGTCATGCGAACAATGGCGGTTTAGTAGATATGGTACACCTAACTATCACCCGAAGAAAAAAATAACTTTCCATACTTCAGTTGCTTTAGCAAAAACTAATTCAATTCGCCAGCGATCTTCCGTTATGGTTTGAAATTGCTTAAAAATAGTCTTCAATAACCTGTTGCTTTCTGGGCTTCTTCTTCTGATTCCGTCACTAACAAGCTCACCTGAGCGCATTAAACCTCAATGCATTAATTGACATCTCTGTAAGCATCAATTCTGATGATGCTCCTCGTGAAATTATCGAAAAAAAAAATACAGTAAAATTCATGTTTAATGACCAATTCTGCAGCCATTTCGGTGACTTCAATTGATTCATCCGTGATTTAATGGTCTTTAAAAACGCATGAAGACTCCATACCAGATTCACGTTCTACATTCAACCCCATAAAGATTTGGTAATAACGACAATTTTCGACCGATCAAATGTAATGTTTTCTAGAGAGGCCAACGTGGGCTGCAGGATACGTCGAAAATAGTTGCAATTTCCTTCCCAAAGTGTTCTCCTGAAAACCCTTGATCCACCCCTGATTGTATTTCCGCAGCGACTCAATTTTCGGTTTCAAAACAGCAGTTCAAATATTGTTCCATGCTATTACAAATATAAATTGCGTAAACATTCCTGTCACCAACAACAATGAGAGCAAAGCTACTAATTATTTCAAAACTTTAAACTTATCTAATATTTCCAGTGTAATGGCTTCAAGTGCTAATTTATTTACTCACTTGCTATTTAATTTATCGTCTGTTAGCTAAAAGTTTTTTAATACCGCAATGCCGATATACACTACTTTAAATTCAAGTCGTTTGAAAATATAGGTATAAAAGCACTATGCCCGAAAAAGACTTTTGCCCGCGACAAGTTTTTGCGACATCATCTATAGGTGCTCGGTGAGGTGGCATAATTTGATTGTTTCAATCAGAACATGCTCTTCAGGGCCATATTTTAGCACTCAAATTCTTTGACTCGGGAAATGAATTCAAAATGTCCTGAGTTTCAACCAATATTACTTAGCAACCACATGCCTTAAAAATTATATCGCTCAAAAATAATTTCCATGCCTCAACAAGAAAAAAGATTTGGACATTTTTCCCGGGACAAAATGACATTAAGAAAAAATATCACTTATCCTGCTTTTCTGATACCGTTTATAATTTTTGGAAGTTTCGGCTCTGCGATATTATAATTTCAATGAAGTTCTTTTTAACAAGTTAGTTGTATTAAACTTGCATCGTCATTCATATTCTGTACAGTTTTTTCCTCCTCTTTCGAAATTAATTACAAATTCAATTCGGGAGGTGCTCTTCACATGAACACCATTCATTATTTGGCAATGAATGAACGTAATTTCTGCTAATAATTCCTTTCAAAACTTTCCAGTTAAATTCTTCCAGAAGTTTCGTCTAATAGCACCACGTAATGTTTGCTCAGAGCGAAAACATAGGCACTGGCTGGGATTCGAACCCACTTCTTAACGACTGGGTTTCGCTGCTGTTACTGCTAATAGCACTCGTAGAATTTGATGACTCGTAAACTGAAAGAAGGTACTCGAAAAGTCCAGACAAGTTTGCATTTCCACAAGTTTTCACTTTTTCCAGACAATTTCTGGCGTATCCTACATTCGTATTCCCTAGTGCATTGATAAACTCGGACGAGTTGTATTTCGTTTCTTGACTCAGACTTTCCCAATTTGCGAGAACATTTTGCACCGAAGCCCAGAGCCTCTCAAAATCTGAAGGGTCCATTTTCGGTCGCATATTTCCAATTATATAATTCAAAACATTCAGGCAATCACCAGCATTCGAATTAGAATCATTTCTGCTTTCTGATGCCACGCCATTCTGAACATTATTCTGTTTGTTTTGTGCCCCTGTTATGTTTGCTGTTCCATTAGCCGTATGGCTATCAATTGAAGTTTTAACACCATTAGCCGAACTGTTCATTGAGCCTACAAAACCCCCTTGTTGGTGTTGATTCGGTGAAATGCCATCACCGTTACTTGTAGGTGTTAAGAGCCCATTTTGACCCCGATTAAATGACGAGAAGCAAGGTTGACTAACACTTTGATGCAACGGTGAATTTTCATGCGAATATCCGTTACTCAAATAGCCTTTTGGGGTCAACAACCCATTGCTAGGCAGCGGGGGAGGCATACTATAACCTCCAGGAGCTAATCCATTCTGAGTATGGAAATTTCCATTCGATGAATTCTGGGAAGGAGGAGGTGGTGTTACGTAATGGTTGGGCGGCTGTGATGTAACACCGTAGGTCGATGACATAACTCCATATTGTTGAGGTGATGTAATAACCGTGTTCGGACTGTAATATGACGTGGGATTTGTAGAACCGTTTGTTTGAGACGGCGGCGGTGGTGTGAAAAAATGGTTCCCGTTTTTCATGCCTCCTAACCCATTCGATGTAGGAGCATTGTTTGTCATTAGGGGGTAGCCATTGTTTGATGACATTGTCGGCGGGGGTGTCATAGCATTCATGACTGCTTTTGTCGGGTCGAAAATAGAGAAAGATGACGCTGACAAATTTGCACCTACTTTTGGTTTCGCTCCTGGCGTTTGTCTTCTGAAAGGATTAACAGCAGGTGAATTTTCGCTGGTCGCTGAGTTAATACTGTTACTGCTTCCGTTGTGAGGTCCGTTGTTGTCGGTTGAGAATTGTGAAGCTGAGAGGTCGGGTGGGTCGTTCCATCCACGTGTGGGATTCGAACCCTGACCTCCGGCGACTGAGGTTGATCGCCCGTAATACCAGGCTTCCATATTATATTATACTAACTGAAATATTAATGATCAGGTCAGTAAAGGCTTCATAGATAACTCTTCTATACTAAGTGGATTTGAACTGGGGTGAACAAAGATTCAGTTCTCGTTCTCGAGTGTATTTGGAATTTGAACTTTGTACCGATAGTTGAGAAAATGTGTTTTCTAAAACCTTTTATTTATTCAACTTGACTAGTCTCAAATAAATTTGTCGCAAATCTAAGAGAGGACTTTCACGGGAAATATTAATGAATTGAGGTAAAATTAAAAATATAACAGCGGCTGAAACATTCAGCATGGCTGCGTATGAGTCATCATAAACGGGTCGAAAGACCCTAAAGGGATTAAAATGCACAGGATGTGATGATCACGTGTTGAGGAAGATCAATGTTTACTCCATTGATCGATTAGAAGTACTGCTAACTAGCACAATAATGAAAGAACGAATGAACCTAATAGACACAAGTTATAAACAGTTACATTTTTCCCGATATTTTTTTATTGAAACTGAACTAAGTCAAACTGTCAGAAACAAAAATGTTCCATTCTGAAAATTCATTTTAAAAACGAAATCAGTATTTGAAGAAATTTACCCAAAAACACGTCGAAACTTTGATGCTAATCAATTTTAACATTTTTTATATCAGCTCTTTAGCAAAACCGGAGTTTCCATGAAATTACTTAATGTAACCGTTTATAACTCTCGTTCGAGATGAATCACTTTAAATTAAAATTGAATTAAAAGGAGACTAAAACTGTATATCTAAGACTACAATTTCAATTAGATCGTAAGAAGACAAAAATTATTATCATCTTGGTACACATAATAGAGGAATCTCTCAGGGCACAAAAGTCGATTAGCCAGCCAATCACACTTCAGCATTTAAAACAGTGTAGGAAATAAGCTCGAAAAATGTCTGTTTAGGAAAATTTCAAGGATGTTGATTGGTTGGAAATCGTCCGTAATTCGGCCCTCCTGATAGAAGAAAAACCTGCACATAACATCAGTGCAACTAACAGAATTACTCGAATAGACAAGTCAAGTTCACAATTAAGAGTATTCATTGAGTTAGTTATTTAAGCAGAATAGAATTATATAGTCGAGTTGAAGTTAGACAGCTTACATGTCAAAGATTAAATTACACGCACGGTTGTAATGCCACTTATGGTTTGGTTTCATGTTGATCTATACACATTGAAGAAGTCGAGTAGATATCTGTAAGCGAGGTGGCTTTGTTCATTCAGTTTAAAAATTTTCATCAATAAACGAGCCATTAATACTTCTTAAATATTGATGTTTTTACCTTGAAAACTTGGTTTTTGATAGATGATTTGACGAAAAAAGGCAACGTTTAAACCTCTCGTTCTCTTAATTATATTATATCAGAACAAAACAGAAACGATAAAAAAACTTACCAGATATACGACATTTGACAAGCATAATTTATCAGTGCCGGATGAAATCAGCTCAAGCTCTACGATTAAACTTGACACATCCGTCAATAATTGATAACAAACCACTACCTGGTCTTCTAAAAAATTGGTCTGCGATTCAACTCAAACAAAAAAAAGTTAGAATAACCTCCAAAATCTACCGATTATACGGCAACTCCATTTCATCGTTGATCAATATAGATAAATACAAACTATAATTTATTCTAATTCATACTCTTAAGAACAGACGAATTGACAAAAGAATGACAAAAAGAACGAAAAATTCAAAATTATTATCATCTTCAGATGTTCGCCTTTTTTGGTCTAGTTGGCATACTAATTCCTTTTCAACAATTTAGTATAACGCATTAACAAAGTGGTGTCTATCGATTGGTATATAACGAAAAAAATGGATGTTTAGTTTCTAAACTGGATGGTATAATCGTATAGTCTATTCTATTTCAGTATTCTACTTATAGTTCAGTTTATTAAGAGTAGCACAACTTGTAACGTTATGCCACGTGTCAAACGGCACACAAACACAAATGCACATGTTTTGAAATCCGATTCAAATCCAGCTCTAAAAAAGGATTGATTTGAATTATCTGGAAATGAGACCAAAAAAGAAACCGTTTATTTTTTGAAGAAAGCACTCAATTTTGAACTCAGCGTTGAGTATTGAAAGCAACAAATGAAAAAAAATTACGCAAAAAAGCATTTCTTCGACTACTAAACAAAAAATGATGAGCTATTTTTTGCGCCAATTCCACTTGCACTATTGGATAGCGTATTTTTAGCTTCAAAAGTCAAATCGCTAAAACAAAAAATGAGCTTTAACCAAGTTCAAGACTTTTGATTTTGGCAACCTAAACAAAAATCATACGACATAAATTAACTTTTCATCAAAATATCAGACTGAAAACTAAATAGATTGCATTTGAATCGCTTGCTATTCAAAGAAAAATCTGGTTATATAATGATGATGGGTAATTTTTCCAAAGCCACTTCGTGAATCACAATTTTGCGCCAACACTGAACATTGACAGCAAGATATTATCCACAATTTTGTCAATTAAATCACCTTTCTTGAGTAAATGATAGACGCCCTATAAACTTCCCACTTCAATGAAACCTTTAGGGTCAAATCTGTATATAATTCTGCTTAATTCAAACTTAGAAACTTGAGCGAAGGGGAAGTTATCAAGTCCCATTGTAAAATAGATACAATATAACGTGTTAGAAGGTTCGTTCGAATTGTGATGATTAAGAGTATTCGAGTAAGTGAACAACGTCACAGAAAACAGTGAATTCGCTACCAATTCAAACTCAGTGGGTTTATATTTATAACCAGTACTATAAACCAACACCGTTATTTATACTACACACAAGAAACTTATCCATCACATCACAAGGTAATAAACGCACAATTACTTCGAGTAAGTTGTTGCCTTAGCAACAAGTTAAAATAAAATTCAAATTCTGATATCAAAAATATAAAACATGTTTTTAATTCGCACATTTTTCTTCTAATTTAAAACACTAGCACGCTAAATTACAAGTTCCAATTTAATTCAACTAAATTGATCTACGATTTTTTATCTAATTAAAATGCACGTAATAGCAGCAAAGATTTAGTTTTTAGTTAGATGATATTTAGTGTGATTAATTTGATAGTTCATATCAAACTGGTAAAATCAGTCATCAAAGGTAGATTATCCAGGCTCCTAATTATCTTTAACCAGCTTATTAGTTCTCAAAAATTCCAAAAGTTAGCTCAGAAAAAGACTATCGTACTCCTAAAAAAGTTAAAATTCACCTATATTACTTTCAAATTTTTAAATGAGCCAGAAGTTTAACTATTCAATATTAAACCAGATATTCTACCATCGACCTTTAACAAAAAATTGTTGTATATTTGTCTAAATACTGTGAAGTTTAAAAAGTCACATTTACAATTAATAGAGGAAAGATTTAAAAACAGACACGATTATTTGGTGGTAACAAACCATATATCAAAAATCGAAAAATAACAGCTAAAAATGATTGGAAGAAAAGCTTTCCAATATGTCATAAATAAGTAATAATTAAAAGGGCGATGATGACTTATGAGAACATTAGAAATTCAACATCTGCTATATTAGCACTAAAGAATACATTCAATATTCGGCAAATTGAGCTTTCGGCTTTTTGAAGCAATCATTAGCACAGTTTCTGTCAAATCAGTCGTCGGCTAGGAGAGACGAGGATGGCGAAACACACTCTGCGTTCGTTTCTAACGCGTGATCAGCTACAGATCTGCAGAGTGACTCCAGACTCGAAATCGAATCGACCTGATTAGCCGAATTTGAATGGAAAGCAGAAGATTGCGTTGGCTGGGCCATCGTTGAAACATTGGCATTATTGCAGAAATCGTAATAAGAGGTAATAGATTGCATAGATATGGGTAACATTTGAGACGCGCGTCTCTCAGTAGTTGAATTATTCGAATCAAAATTACCCGAACTGGAGTTTTGATTCAAGTAGTTCGAGCTCATTTGAGCTCCAATGGCAAAGGATTGAGGCATGGCTGTCATTGTCCGACCCGACAACGCAGGGTTCCCGCCAGCAGATTGGGTCCGCAACAACGGTTTATGCAACTGATGGTGTTCCATTCCGATAGCACCAGTTGGGGCGTTCCGATTGTTTCCAGTAACAGCCGCGGTGCACGAAAGAGTGTGCGATAGAGGCTGATGGTGATTGGCTGAAATTGAAGAAGATCGATTTGACGAGCCAATCAGATTCGAGGACCGCATTGCGTTCATAGGCTGAGGTGGTATATGTGCATATGCATTACTGTTGTTATTGTTATTCTGATGATATTGTTCTTGATGATTATGATTCATATTGTTGTTTGTGGTATTGCAGTTGTTGTGGTGGTTCATTGACATCTGGTTTGAGGCGGAGAATTGTTGGAACATTCTCGGGTCACTCAGATACTGAAAAATACACCTCAAAAATAAGTTTCTATCTCCATATTCGATAATTAACACATCTTTCACAAATTGAATCAGGAATACAAAACAAGACTGCTCGTATCAGGGCGAAGCCCTGAATGTTCTGACTGCCTCCTAAGGTTTATGAAGCAGTAGTAACATAAAAAATTAAATGTAATAAAAAGAAAATGAAAAAAAAATTCTAAAAATTGAGTTTTTTTTATGAAATCATCCCCCCACACGCCATATAAAGTACAAAAGAATAGATTTCGCTCCTAGTAACAAATCAATTATGGCAAATGAGCTTCCTTCAACCAATTTGGAATGATTTCTATGACGGATTAAATCTCCGCTTACGCGTTAATAGCGCGAAATATATCGCGCGTTAATTGTTCCAAATTGGCCAAAATGGCAATCTTTAAACCCCCATAACTTTATGAAAAATGATCACAGGTGAAACATCTTTTCAAATTTAAGCTCAGGACAACAAAACCTTTTGAATGATATAAGAAAATTCCGTCAAAAATGGCTAGTTAAAAAGTCGAAATTTGTCTGAAGAAAAAAAAACCCACCCCGAGCACAAATATTCCGTTACTTTCGTATCGAAAGTCGGAACAATTATTCGAATCAAATCTTTCTAAATAGAACGAACAATTCTGACAATTTCAGAAATAATAAAAACTTATGCCTAATAACGCATAAATTAGAAATGCAATCTTTTATGAATGCATAAATTAGAATGCAATGCGTAGCCAACAGACCGTTGGAAAATAGTCAATGGACACAAGGACGCAATAAAAAGGACTTGTTCGAACTTCCAAAATTCGGAAAAAAATTATGGCCTTAAAGCTTTTTGAATTTCAAGAACAATTTATGATTGACAATTTTGGATAAAATAAACCGAATTTAAGAAAACTAGATCAATGGGTAAATTTTTTATTGCGCTCGGAAATCTGAAAACTACAACCTACCTGCGAAACTAGAAGTTTTTTTTCACGTTTTTTTTTTCGCGTTATTTCCGGGTTGGTAATTGTAGAGCGCAATTTGAACTAATTTCAGCAGATGAATTTAAATTGAATTCAAAAAGTGTATTTATATGTAAGTGCATTCATAAACGCATTAATATGTATGAACGCACTTCAGTAATTATTTTTATGACACTTTCCTGAAAAATCAATCATCAAGACCTATATAACTGAAAATGACTTCGTTCTTTTAACCTTAATAAAAAAGAACGCAACCCGAGATTGAGCAAATACAAAAATAAATTGTCCCAGAGTTTTTTTCTGCTAGTTTGTGGATTTTTTGTAGAATAAAACTTTCTGGTCTTTGTTTGTTCAGCCTTTAAATTTTTACACTTAGCTTCGATTGTCAAAAAATCTTTTTTTTTTAAAAAAAAAACGTCTACAGAGAAGCAAGGCTTCACTAAGCAAACGCAGGTAAAAATGGCAAAAAGGAGCTTTCAATTGCAAGAACAAGCACAGATAAGCTTCGAAAAAATGCCACCTACGTAATTGGCTATTGATTCGCTGACGCGATGCTCTTAGACACGATTAGAATTAGAGCAGTACTGCAACAGATACTGCAACAGATACAGCAATTTCGCGCAGCAACAATTTATGCGAGACTGACTTTGTAAAAAATTGAAATCGTTTTCTGTTAAATAAACAATATAAAAATTTTGCCCAATGGTCAGTTCTGCATCAAACTTACCGCGTTTCTGTTCTGATTCGACGTATTCGCAAACGACGCATTCGCAACTAAATTCGAAGATGCAGTTGGAGCAAATCTCTGTCCATTTTGACTTCCAAACATCTTCGCACTTCCGTCCATAAACCCGTTAACTCCTCCCATTCCTGTTCTGTTATACTTCAAACCAAAATCCGGGTTCACTTGAGATGAATTCGAGTTTTTTTGAACATCACTGTAGCCTCTATATACATTTGTATTATTGCGACCCGATCCCACTGCAATGCTTCCGGTACAACCGGCCGCCGGCGTCGGCACTCCTGTGGCCACGTTTCCATTCTGTTGGAATAATCCATAACTATTGCCCATTCCTTGTTGGCAAATATTACTGTGCAAATTGTTGTTATTATGAGGTAGCATTGTATTGCTGTTGTTGTTATACATGGTTGTTGGAATGGATATTTTCCTCGTGTGTGAGAGGTAGGGAGAGGAATTTGAGGCCAGTGCACTGGTTGAGCCGTAGGGGTAGCTGGGTCGTCTGTACATGACTGATGTGTACCCATTTCCCAATGTCCTGAGAAAAACCGATTATTATACTCAGCAAACGTATAGTTCACTGGTAAAAATAGGATTGACATTTGGGTAGTTGTTTGAAGTCAACCTGTATTTTGATATTCAAAATGAGAAGTATCTTAAAAAAGCGTTCTTCAAAAAATTGATATATTTCACTACACGATTAAATATTCAGACTAAGAAAAACGTTGTCGCTCAGAATATTCATTTATTAGACAACTACTCACTTCTGCTGTGCAGATCGAGATATGCGTTGACACTGAGTTCTCCACTGGCTGATCTTCTCCTTCTGAGTCGACGTGAACGCCTGTTACAAAAGAGACAAAATGAAACGAAATAATGCGTCGAGTAGACAAAATAAAACTGATGCTCGCTTATTTAGATTTTATAATTATTCAGTTAGTGCGAATAATGAACCAACAACCATATGATTGCCAACAACCTTCACCTACCACTTGCGCACCAGACCCATGTAATAGTAGACTGGAAATTGTATTATCTTACCGCGTGACCATTGCATCTTTCGAGGACCTGAATGAAAGTGTTGCAGTTGTCCTCATCCGGATGCAGAAGGATCTGACTGCACACTAAAAGATACAAAACACTCATAAATATATCCTCAGGTCTTTAATTAGTGAAAAAACAGGAACTTCGTTTCAAGGTAGAAAATTTGTGCATGCTTAATTCTTTATGGGAGTAGAAGCTCTTGAATACCAAATGAAGCCGCGTATAGCAAACAAAGTCCGTAAAACTGAGGACATTACCGGTGGGTGAAATTAAATGTCTATTCGGTCAAAAATAGAACTTTTATGATAACTAGGGTCTTCTGATTGGCGTTAGAAATGACCAACGCCCACATTGTGGAGCTCAACACAAAGAATAGCTAAAAAAACGAATTTATTTGCAAAAAGCTGAAGAACTTACATTTTCCCAGAACACTGCAAATCAAGCTCGGCAAATCTTCCATTGCCAGCGGATTCTTCTGACACATCTTCGCATCATTATCATCTTCCGATCCATCGCCTGCAGCCTCGCCCGATTCACTCGGTTCGCCTTCAGTATCATCTGAATTCTGCTTCGAAGTCCGCTGATTCTAGAACAAAAATTAGTTTCTACAAAAGAAAACACATTTTCCAAACCAGCAAAAAAATTTTGGTAAGTGAGTGACATAGACAACAGACAGTTAGAAGAGTATTATTAAAAAGATTGATAATTTTGAAAAAACATCACCCAAAAAGCTCTTTGAATTTCAAGATTTTTTATGGTTGATGTTTTTTTTTGTAATAACAGTAACTCAATTTGAGAAAACTCCGAAAATACTTTTTTAGTAACAATCAATCACGTGCCGCTTTCGCTTTGAGAATATGAGCCTACTTTCCCGGCAATTTAGCCAATTGAAAACTGAATGTATATATTTTCAGCAACAAAAACTGCACAAAAAGATGAAAACATGACAAACAGACAGCTGGAAAAATGCCAATTAACGCACGGAAAATGAAAAATGACTGACTTGTTTTTTTTAAAACCTTTCGAACTTCACGAAACATAAATGCCGTTACAGCTCTTTTAATTTCAAAAACAAATTATGATTGAAAAAATAATCAACTCGAACTGAGAAAATTATATCAATAGAAGAAGTTCATACTTTGCTGAGCAATCTAAAAAATTAAAATTCACTTTCAAAACTAGAAGTCGCTCACATTTTTTACGCTATGTGCGCTTTCGTACTTGTAAAACGGTATATGCCTTCACTTCAAAAAAAATAAAAACCTATAATATCAAGTTGGGCATGGACAAAAAGGACCTTTTGCTGAAAAAAAAACCAAAAAAATCAACGACTTATGTTCGCGACCAAGTCTTCTAATTTTTTCACAAACGGGTTAAGATATAAAAACAGAAATATTGTAATTTTTCGAAAGCCCAAACAAATAAGGGGAAAAACGTTTCAACGAAATCTGCAAAAAAAACTGCGTCTCAAAGTAAATCTGCAAAGATAAAAATCTTATTTTCACAAAATGTTTAAATAATTCAAAATCTGCTTAGTAACCATTCGTACTTTCATAGGGAAACACTGGGAAAAAGTTCCACTCAAGCCATGAAAAAACATAGACACTATACTAGAAAACAATAACTTTATTTGGAAAAATTATGAAGACAAACGACAGCCAATTTTCAATTCGAAAAAAATCAGAGAAAGTACAAATTTAACTAAAATTATAGCTGAAAGAAAATCAATGTTTTATACCGTTATTTGAACTAAGCAAAAGTTTCAATGCTAAGGAGAGAGCACCGTCCGAAGAGTTAGTTGGCCTATCTCTTTCAAGATGGACTAAACAACGCAGTAGAAACATTTCTCATACAAAATCCAGAAACATCACTTCGCAATCAATGCGTTCATGATAACTGTTTGAACAATCGTGCGGCAATCGTTGAAGAGGAAACCATACAAAATCAGAATGGTTCTAGAAAAAAACACCCTGACAATTACCCTCTCATAGACATTTTTTGCATGTGGTTTTTTGAAGAAAATCAGCTTTTCTCAGATTATGTTGTTATTGGAGACGAGAAATGGTGAGTCGTCTATGTAGCTCCGACTATGCACAAAATTCGCTAATTGGGGCTATTGAGAACCCCTAATGCATTATCGAGGACCACTGCCAAGGTAAAGCCAAAAATATGAGTTGTGTTGATGCGCTCTAAGGTAACATTTTAGGACAATTTTATTACTCACGCCAGAACAAAAACGTTCTATCATCTCTCTTACAAAAACTTTTCAACTGCATGGGTTAGAAGGCAGTTTTTACTCCATTAGAAAATTCAATTGAGTTCGAGACGATATTATAGACCATCGTTATTCGAAAATAGCAAAGTTCAGTGCTAAGGAGAGATCACCGTCTGAGAAGTTAGTCGACCAACTTCTTTTCAGGATGGCCTACATAAGGCTGTAGAAAGATTTTTCATACAAAATCCAGAAAAATCACTGCGTAAAGCGTGCAAAAACTCTACAATCAAGGCGTCCTTTACAACTCTTTGAAGAATCGTGCGGCATTCGTTGAAGATGAAACATAACAAAAGCAGATAAGTTCAAAAAATTAAACCTAAAACAACTACCCTCTCAGACTTTTTGCATGTGGTTTCTTAAAAAAATGAGTTACTCTTGAGAACGAAAAATGGTGGGTCGTGGATGCAGCTCCAAATATGCACAGAACTTGCGCATTTTGGCTTCTGCGAACCTTAATTACTTTATTGAAAGCCACTGCCAAAGCAGAACCAAATTTATGAGCTAGGTTGGCGTGCTCAGGGTGCCATTTTAGGTCCTTTTTGGTTTGTCGACCAGAACGACCAACCAGTAAGCTACGAAGCTATTGTTGAAAATCAATAATGTCCTCTCCTCGAAAACAGGAGAGCTACGTCGATGCTGGTTTATGCAACACAGAGCACCCACACACCTTGCATAGGGTCACGACATTGCTACCAACCAAATTTGGGGATCAAATATTCAATCAAAAGGCACAACTACCGCGTGCGGCTCAGAAACCTGAGCTGAATATCCAGTTTTGAGGGATGGTCAGGGCTAAAGTCAAAAACGAAAATCTCCGAACTATCGTAGAGCTCAAAATATCGGAAAAACACGTTGTCCATGCCATAACAAGTGCCGAAGTATTAAGGTCAACTCAAAACATTGTAAAATAAATTAAAAAATGTCGCGCAGTGAATGATCGGCATTTTCAGCAACTGCTGAAATGAACATAGCCAATCGAAGATTGGAAAAGAGTAATGAACGCGAGTAAATATAAAAACACACTGACTGTAGAAAAATCTCAGCTTTCGAATTTCAAAGAAAAAATGGATGCCCTTTGAATGGAAACTCTTTGAAATTCTAGAACAAATTATGATGGGCGCTTTTTTGATAACATTAACCCAACTAGAGAGAATTGGATCAACAGCTAAAGCTTTCATTCCGCTGGAAATCTAAAAATGAAATTCCACTTTCGAAACTAGAAATCGTTCACGTTTTTTTTTGCGCCATTTCCACGTTCGTATTTGAAGAGTGCTATTTATGTCACTTTCAGCCAGACTGACCACATGGGGAAAGAGTAAAAAATGACCATCACAATTTTGTAAAAAGTGACCAAAACAAGATAAAAAAGTGACCAAAAGTGACCTTCGCTCTCCAACACTCAAACAAAAAAACCTTCAAGGCGTTCAAAAAACTTAATTTAGCTGTAATTAAACTAAAAAAATTGTTCGATGACAAAGGTAACGAGAAGTTTTCTTGCCGAAAACAACATAGGATGTCCAGAATTCAATGCGAATTTTCCCATTATAAGTTGTCTCGTCTAGATGCAGGGCATAGCGTTTCATAATTCCACAGGTTAACATTTTAGAAAGGTGACTTTGAGACAAAGAGTGACCAAAATGTAACCAAAAAAGACTGGTCACTCATGAGTGACCAAAGTGGTCAGTATGCTTTCAGCAGATGAATTTTAATTGAACTCAAAAAGTGAATTAACTAAGTGCATCAATATTTTAATTCTTTTTCCTGAAAAAAAATCAGCAAGCCCTATATGAAAGTCTTCACTACGTTCATTATTCTTAAAAACTTTATTTTAAAATGTTTTACAGAAATATTCAATTATCAATCGATTCATACCATATTCAAAACGATCGGTTTTGAAGTAAAGAAATGGCAGCGTTTCCAAAATGCGCATAATTAAAAAAAACATACTATGTAAAGCATGAAGCAATCAGTTGATGGCGCAAAAAAAAATCCTTAAATGATGCACAAAAATTCATAAACTCAGTTACCTCCACCAAAAGTATGTGACAATGACAGCCGATTTAAGATATCTTGACAGAAAAACTTGACACCAATAGAAAAAAAATAACTATTTTGTTTTTATCCAGTTCATTAGAGACGTTATGAGATTGATTTTGAGAATTTAGCCAAAATTAAAAAATATCAACAGAATTAGGCAAAATCTGAATCATTTCAGGAAATAAGCCGACAGATTTAAAGAAGACAGTTTTTAAAAGCCATTAATCAACCAAACATTTTCTGAAAAAAAACGAACATTGCAAGAACGATTAACATAGACAGCAAAATAACAAGCAAATAAATAGTCTTGTACCCGGTTGTAATATTCTAGCACCTGGCTAATCACAAAAGTAAAGAAACTATAAATCAAATCAAATATAAATTTGAGCGACATTGTTTCAGAAAAAAAACACACGACCTGCATAAGACTTATCATTTCGTACATTGACTAACAAATGGAACGAAAAATAAACAATTAACGACGAGGAAATTTTTCCTAGCTCACATTCTCAATTAATTTCTTTTTCAATAAAAATCAAGTCAATTTCAGCCAAACTACTTGAAAACATACCTGATTCTGATTCGCAGTGGTCTGTGTGTTGCCGTCTCCGCAGTATTTGATTGGAGTGTTCACTATTAGTTTGAGGTCGCACAACAGTTGTTTCACATTGCCTCCACAGTCCACGGCGTCTTTTTCCATCTGCCTCAATTCTTTCGACCTTGAAAAACAACTGTGTGTTAGTTTTGTCCAAATTTTCTGGTAGATTTTGGAAACCACAATTGATGCGAAAAAATTTATACCCTGTTCATGGATGGAATCAATCAATATCTTATATTTTTAGTTTAAAAAAATTAGTTTTTTTTTCTCCAAAATGCAACTCTCCAAAATGCAATTTAGTTTTTTATGCAACTCTGGAAATGAAATAATTACAATCTATTTCTTTCATTCAATTTGATTAATGAGGTCACACTTTTTAACATTTAGCACCAGGATTTTGACAATTGATTTTTGATACTCATTTTTCGAACAGAGGGATTAGTGTGGATTAAGGCCACTAACTTAACTTTGGTCTGTAAAATTTTCCCCAGAATCTACAACGATCTTTTGAAACCATGGTTTTGAGCTTAGTTTAAACAGCTGACTTCTTTTGCGAGTTAAACCTTCCCAGCCGACAGTTGGAAAACTGCCACGGAACTCAGGAAAGACTGATTTATAGAGTAAAGTATAAATCAAATCGACCTATAAAAGTGTCGTCAATACGTTCATTCACACTTAATAAGATGAAGAAACCAGAAGAGAAAACGAAACGAAACCCGCTGTTGATGAAGGAGATGAGGCCACAACAACAAAAACAAACCTCTCATTCAGTTTGGTGACTGAGATCACAATCTTGTGTCTGGCTCCTTTGGTCACACCCAGAGCAGTCAGTTTCTCATCGTCCAGACTCAGCATCTCCTCATAGCTGAACTGACTGAACATGGCAGAGTACTTGTGCAGACGAAGACTCTTCAGCCATACTGGAACATCTGCAACAAATTAATGGATTTAAGAAAGCTGAAACATCTGGAATATATCAATGAATTTCAGAAGAGGGTCAGCTGGCTTTGTGGCTCTTTTCGACTTACCTATTTAAAATTTCGATGAGTTTTTTTCAAAGTTATCATTTTGCAATAAATTACAATTATTTGGGCCATACATACGGGAGATATTCTCAAGACAAGAAGTGAACACATGTTACTTTTCCGTCTCTCGACTATCCAAAAGTGACCAATTTTTTAAGTAATAGGTCTTCACTTAAACGGTCCAATTTTTCAAGAACATAGCCAATCGAGCATCGGAAAAGAGTAATGAACGCAAGTAAACAAAAAAACACTGACTTTCTTGAAAAAATCCTATCTTTCGAGTTTCAACGAAAAAATGGATGCCCTTTAAGCTCTTTAAACTTCTAGAACAATTATGATTGTTCTAAAGATCAGTGAGCTTTTTTGATAAGATGAACCCAGCTAGAGAAAAGTTTTCATTCCGCTGGAAATCTAAAAATTAAATTCCAGTTTCGAAACTAGAAATTGTTCACGTTTTTTCGCGCTTTTTTCACGTTCGTACTTGGAGAGTGCTGTTTACGTCACTTTCACCAGAATAATTTCAACTGAACTCAAAAATTTCATGTATACATAAGTGCATTCATAAATACACCAATATGTATGAATGCACATCTGTAGTTATTAGAGACTTTAAGACTTTTCCTGAAAAAAAAACTTAAATCAGCAAAAGCTATATAAGAGTCTTGACTACTTTCATTACTCTTAATCAGAACATATATAAAAAGTATTGAGAAAAATTGCACATGATAGGTTAAATGAAAAAAAGTAACCATTATAATTAGACTCTTGCGTTGAAAAAATCATGCGGTTTTGTTGACTTATTTTGATGTAAAAATGCGATTAGCAAAACAGCCAGGCATTATTTGAAAGCTACGAATTCAAACAATTCGGCATCAGCTTTAAGCTTATTATCGCAGTAACATCAAAGCAAGTATCAAGTATTGCATTCTTATATGCGGCTGTTTTACTTTTTCCTCCTTGCTGCCTATTTTTATCCTTCAGAAAAAGATATTGAATTGAAATGTTTTAGAAAGCGTGATGACCACTCAGAAGACATTCAAGTGAAAATTTAGCTGCTACCAGTGCGTGAGCTTTATGCCTACGAGCCACTAAAAGTCGTACCGCGATCTATAAAAAATTTTCATAGTGAAGATTTTTGAAAAAATCGTAGTTTAGTTTTCAAAATCCATTACGAGCAATATGTAGGGGGTAAACCTAACATGCTGAAAGAAACATTTAGCGTAAAACATTTTGAAAGGCAATATATAGTCTACCGGGGAGCTGGACAAATTAATTTGCTTAAAACGAGGAGCCGTTCCAAAAAAGGATTAGAAAAAGCAAATATTCCAAAAGTAAAAGTTTTAACCATAAACTTAAAAATGGATACTTCTAAGTAACGAGCTGGAAACACAAATTTTTAATATCAAGGAATTACAATACCTTGGAAAAAGCTACAACCGTGGATTGCGATTTATATGGTGAAATATGGCGGCCCAGAGCCTTTTTAAATTGTGGGGATATGATAACTTGTGTGACTTTTTTGAAATTCCTCGACAATTTTTTCGAACAGAACCAAAACAATGTTTTTTTTTAAAAAATCCTGTTTACAACTAGTGGTGTTTGGTAAACATTAGTCGTAGTGCTGTGTTTAGCGGTTTTCATAATGATTTATTCGTTCCTTTGTTCATGATGCTGTCTACCATTGATGCGCTATTCAAGGTTTTTTTTACTAGCCTCATAAATTTTACTATCCCCCGGTCCTGCTCAATGCCGAATCAACAGTGGGGAAAGTGATGTGATCAAATTCGCCATAGCCGGTCCCACCTTGAGGAGGCGGATGACACTGGGACCCCTCCAACCGTGACAGACGTGGGATTCGAACGCACGATTCTCATGTTGAGAGACCTGTGCCTTACACCACTCGGCCACGGCTGGCCCACCCTCAAGGTCTCGTTAGCGGGCCCTTCCGATGAGTTATTATTCTGATGAATTTCGGAAAAATAAATTCTTCTTTCTAACCGTTTAAGGCTCAAGCTTATTTGTCTCATATTTTTCAATACCGAATTCTGTTAGCTAACAAAATTTTCGGCAATCCGTCCGGTTTACCCGAGAGATCCTTCCAAAATTATATGAAGATACTCATCAAACTTAATTCGTATAAGCAGCCATTAAACTCATTCAAAAGAAGCAAAAGAGCTCAGAGGTAAAGGTGCACGTAGCATACACAAGCAAAAGGAGCAAAAAAAACGCAGGAAAGAATGTATACGCATTTTAAGTTAGCCCGGAAAATATAACGTTCGATTCAAACTCCTGCTGCTAATGCGATAAGCGCAGGCATTAACGAAGGCGCTTGATTTTACTCAACAACCAATTTCGCTAGTTTCTAGCATTAATGTTCATTAAGTTGCTTAAACACTTTCTACATCAAAAAGAAATTTCTGAATGAACCTCAAGAATTACCTTTCATTCCTGATCTGTCCACTTCCTTCGACGTACACCCTCCAGACGATGATGCTTGCCCTCCATTGCCTACACTCATAATCGCATTCTCACACGTCTCCACTAGACTACCTGTTGACCCCCCGTACGAACTGTCGTAGTCTGGGCTAGTAGAGAGTGGGGTGGGGGGAGTTGGCACTTGAAAGTTTGTAGCGATTGCACCATTGGCGGGGTGTTGTGCGTAGTAATTATATGGCATATGCAATTGTTGGCTGTTTGTATTGCTTACGAAAGCTGAAAAAAGAACGCCTGGTCAGTTTCGAGTGTCTACAAAACTTGACTCAGACAGATTTAAACATTTTCAAACAACTTTTTAAGTAATTTTTGACTTTCTTCAGGTAAAACCGAAGCCCATTGCTTTAAAATCAACACGTAGCATTCAAATAGGTAATTTTTTGCTGGATCCAACATTAATACCAAAATGATATGATTCCTTTAGATAAGAGTAGTTTCTATTTTTATACTATAACTTATCAGAGTATTAATTTCGAGCAAGATTTGAAGCATATCTGACGTACATGGAGGTGCGGATAGAGTGGCTGAAATTGGCAAGTGTGTGTTGGCTGAGGATGACACTCCATTGGCCTCAAAGTCACGCATATTGCTGTTCTGTTCACTGCTGCTCTTTGAGCACTTTCCGTTTTCTATATTTAACCTCCTAAACAAAAATAAATAAATCAAAATCCTGATTTAAATTCAAATTTTCTCGCAAAAGTATGTTCTAGGAAGAAAAGGAAATCAAGAAATTCTAAACGCCAGATCAATAGACCGTTATGCATACGCTACGTAAAACATAAGGTAAAGATATATCCCTATATCAAGACATTGGAAACAGCAGGCAAGTTCGATTTTTGCCATTTTCAGGAAAAAACCAGGCGTACTTTTTACAATTACTTTTTCGCCGGACCAAGTATCAAATCTGCGCCATTTATTGCGACAATCTTATCGACTTACTCTAGCTTGAAAGAGAGATCTGAGAACTTCTCTGAGCCGCCTCCATTATTCATCTGATCTAAAGCTAAAAACAAATGCGACAGAGAGCCTCGTTGTTCACTGTTTAGAGCGGGGTGGATCAAAGCGTAACTCATCAACTGCCGACACTCTTCCAAGTTCTTTGCGTTCTCTAGACACAAATCGATGCAAACAGGGATGAGTTCCGTGAACACGGTGGATGCTTCGGAGCTTTCGGGTTTGAGAAGAGGAAGTAGAGACAGAAGTTGAAAAACTGAAGAGTGGTCTTTCATATCCAAGGATTTCAGATGTTCTAAACAATTGAACAAATATGTTGCTAATACTTACGCAGAAATTAACTCATTAATTCTTCCCTCATTAGACCAGGTCAAAATACCTATCAGGATTTGGCTGATTAATGTGGTTGCGTTTCAATGAAACAACCAAATTCATAAAATAACCGCCTCACGGCTAAGCTTATCCTGGGTGTACATATTTATTTTAGAAAATTAGAGAGCTTTTTGGTGTCATACGCCTAATCAGTTTTGTCCAATTTGACCGCTCAATGACTGCCCGAGTCAGCTGATGAAAAATTATAAGCGTAGCATAAAGACAAAACGTGTGTACTCAATGAACATCTTCATTCTTTGACCATGTATAGTATACTTGCCTATGCTGTTAGCAAGAGACTCAAGGTTCGAAAGCTGACTCGATCCACAAGCCAGTGACTGCTCCAATACCATCATGACAAATTTGGTTTGCTTAAAATTCAATCTTTTGATCAAAGAAAATAAAACAACTGTCTGCTCACACTCATTCCATGAATTAAACCAGTTGGTAATTGAATCAACTTGTTCTCTGTAGACGTTCGCAGAAGACCGATTAACTGTCAAATCGCCCATATCGGTCTTAAACAAAATCGCTTATGCGAAAAAAAAGCAACAAACAGAAAAAAAATACAATTTCATGTTATTTGAAAGCAGCCCTTCCGCAATGTGCCTTTCAACCAGAATAATGTGCGGCCATTGAACACACGTTTTATGTGAATGAAAAATTAGGAAAGCTAATCGGAAAAATATCAATTTGCAGGCAAGACACGATTGTTACAGCTTTAAGGTTACTGCCAAAATACCCCCTCCCCCCCCCCCCCCCAATATAGATTGAAATTGGTGCTCCCCCATGATAATGTCTCTGAACGCCTAAAACACGATATTAGCCTAAATGTTGTGATAAACTTATTAGATAGTCTTTTTCATATTAAATGTCTGGTGCTACGACGAGCTCAAGATTGGCCTCTAAAAGTCATGAGTGTTGCACCATGTGTTCCAAGTCAGTGGGGGAAAACTGGCTGATGTGCGAGGGCTGCGAAAAGTGGACGCATAGCTCGTGTATGGGATACTCTCATCATATCTTCAAATTTCTGGAGAGGACCGCAAATGTAAAGTTTCTGTGCAATGAATGCCTAAGTGCTGATATTCGTCCAAAATCTACCGTGGATGTGGGCGAGCTGTCAAAAGGCATTGTGTGCCAGTCGGTCATATTTGGAAGTTTGACCTTGAGCAACGCAAGAAACATGATTTTGTGGTGAAATGGAATTTTTCAAAAATTCGAAGTGAGCATTTCATGCTCAAGTTTCTCGCATGAAATGCTCTTGCATGAAAGTTTCTCGCATGAAAATCTATTCTCTTCATGCGAGAAACTTTCTCGCATGAAAGTTTCTCGCATGAAAATCTATTCTCTTGAGTAGATAAAAATCATCATCTCCATCGAAGATGGATCAACCCTTTCCCCCCAACTCTTAGCACCTCATCCTTGTCAAAACTAATCCAAATATCAATTAAATTCAAGTCAGGACATGACAGGATGCTAAAAGTTCATATGAGTCAATAAAAGTTTTCCGTCCCGAGACCCTTCCGGATTCTTGAATCCGGTGAATCAAGCTCCTTAAGTTCGATTTCACGACAACACGGAAGGCTGGTTTCTTACCCTTCACCGTTGTTCGCAACGTCCTTGCAACTATTGTAGCAGCACAATAGTTGCAACTCGGAACGTTCTCTGCAATCTGCTGCTGTTTTTCTTCAATTTCGACTTCTTCAATTTCGATAAAGTTGTTCTCGTCAGCGCAACTAATGTTGTTGTGTTTTTTCTCTCGTTTCTTGTTAAAATGGCCGTTTCAGCATTTCTCAGAAATGTGACGTCATCATTCGAATTTTTGAAATTTTAAAATACTAGAATATTCCAGCCTTCACCGTTTGGCTAAACGTTCCAATAACGCCCTTAGTTCTTAAAAAACACCAATCCGGAAGGCTTACTGCTAAAATTCCGAATTCTGCAGAGATTGCATTTTTGACATTCTGGTCGAATGTCACAAAAGAATATCGGAAGAACCGAACTACAATCGCGGGAAAGTAGTCGAAAAAGCAGCGGGGAATTGCTATTCGCAATTTCCAGATATAAGATTATACGAGAGTAGAGCTGTCTCATTCTTAACAGAAAACAGAGTGATCGCGAGTGGAGAAGAAAGCGAACCAGTATTGGACCAGAGTGAACCTTCGATGGAAAGAAGGAAAACCGAAGACTCCCAATGGTCCAGCCCAAAAACTCATTTCTCAAGCTGGAATTTATTCATTTAAAACTCCTCGAGTCAAACTTAATTCCTCAGTTATTCTAGAGTTGCTTGTTAACTTAGTTACTCAAATTCTAGAATGTGCCGGTATGTGAGTACCCAATTTAAATTTCTTGAGTGTGTTTTATATTGTTATGTTGAGGAAAGAAAAGTTTTAGGTTGATCCATCTGAAACGGACCAAGGTCCACTGTCTAATAAAAAGTAAATATGCGGATTGTTCCGACCCTGTTTTTAATGGCGTTCGCGTGTTTTAGTTATTTTGAGACTTAAGTATGGGGACGTTCTTATTTTCTAGAGTTGGGGGTACTTTGGTAGTGGCCTTTAGGCTGTAACAAATGTTTTAGTCTCATGTCGCAAGTGAACCGAATTGGCTCCGACCGTTTGAGGTAGAATAACACAAGAGATAGTGTCCCTGACTCTTGCGCTAATGTTATAGGGCCTATTTTTCCTTAACCTCATATGTGAATTAAGTAGGCGACTGTTACATAGTGTTCTTATGGCGCTCCTGGGTGTATTTACGACATCAAGACTACAGGATTAAACCCACTTGACACAGCTCCGGGCTACTTGCCCATTCTAGAGTACCGGTGGTACGGTTCAGCGGGAATAGGTAAACCTTCCGGTTGTACCGTGATAGCTTTTTAAGAAAACTCGAGAAAGTTTCCGGGCACGCTCTCCGAACGAGGCCTAGCTAACCGAGTAAGAGGGGGTAACTAGGGGGACAAAAAACGAGCAAAAGAGGAAAAGCAAAAAAAAAAGAATAGAAAGAGGAACAAAAAAACCATAAAACTTGCTCAATTCGAATTTTTTAAAAATTGCATTTCACATTAAAATCAAGACAACATTTTTCTCAAGGTCAAACTTCCAAATATGACCGACTGGCACATACTCCCCGGACTCAAGATCGATGTCCTCATCGCGTGTCGTCGTCTGTCAGTGAGCCCCCAGAATGTTGAGTGCGGCTCAAGATACGGCGTCAGTGGTCATTTACAGAAGTTTGCAGGAAATTGAAGTTTATATACACCCCGAAATTCACAATAAAAAGTAAATATGCGGATTGTTCCGACCCTGTTTTTAATGGCGTTTGCGTGTTTTAGTTATTTTGAATCTTAAGTATGGGGACGTTCTTATTTTCTAGAGTTGGGGGTACTTTGGTAGTGGCCTTTAGGCTGTAACAAATGTTTTAGTCTCATGTCGCAAGTGAACCAAATTGGCTCCGATCGTTTGAGGTAGAATAACACAAGAGATAGTGTCCCTGACTCTTGCGCTAATGTTATAGGGCCTATTTTTCCTTAGCCTCATATGTGACTTAAGTAGGCGACTGTTACATAGTGTTCTTATGGCGCTCCTGGGTATATTTACGACATCAAGACTACAGGATCAAACCCACTTGACACAGCTCCGGGCTACTTGCCCATTCTAGAGTACCGGTGGTACGGTTCAGCGGGAATAGGTAAACCTTCCGGTTGTACCGTGATAGCTTTTTAAGAAAACTCGAGAAAGTTTCCTGGCACGCTCTCCGAACGAGGCCTAGCTAACCGAGTAAGGGGGGGGGGGACTAGGGGGACAAAAAACGAGCAAAAGACAAAAAGCAAAAAAAAAGACTAGAAAGAGGAACAAAAAAACCATAAAACTTGCTCAATTCAAATTTTTTAAAAATTGCATTTCACATTAAAATCAAGACAACATTTTTCTCAAGGTCAAACTTCCAAATATGACCGACTGGCATATACTGCCCGGACTCAAGATCGATGTCCTCATCGCGTGTCGTCGTCTGTCAGTGAGCCCCCAGAAAGTTGAGTGCGGCTCAAGATACGGCGCCAGTGGTCATTTACAGAAGTTTGCAGGAAAATGAAGTTTATATACACCCCGAAATTCACAACCATGCAAAATTGTCACATTATCGCTAAACAGTGATCAGAATATGCATACACCTGCTGCCTGAATTTCCGTTTTGTAAGCTAATGATTGAAAATTCTTTTGTTTTACCCATTCAGAAAAATGTCATGCAGCATTTTGATTTATATAGTAGGCATATTATACTAGTAACAATAATTTTCCAAGCTCAAGAGTTCCTTTCACCAGATCTCACTCAAGTTCGCTCTTTGGTCCTCCGGCACAGCTCCCAGGACACTTGGGTATCGAGAAGGCTTTGTCAATTACCACCCTCTGACTGGATGCTTCCACCATCGCCATATGTAAGGGGTAGTGGCTTCCACACAGATTGGCCATTACCGATCCCAGTAGAGAATTTGCATTCGTTGGCAAACTGTAAGCTTCACTCACGGGAAATGCCATCTCCGCCTCAAGAACCATCTTCCATCCTCTGATGTGCTTTTGGGCCATCTGCAACACTCCAGGCCATGATTCCACGCTAAACGCCGTCACTAGTTGGTGTTCGGTTTCTAGCATCTCCAGTGATTGCAAGCTGCACGTCCTCGAGAAGAATTCCAACGCCGTCGCTATGTTCACCGTGGTGCTCGTATAGCACTCAGCTACTATCTGCACCTCACTTTTCTCCTTCTCCGTGATGTCTCTAAACCACGTGGCTAGGTCATCCTTCTGAAACGATTGTATTCTGACGCAGGATCGTCCATCACAGGCATGTTCTCCACCTCCACACACCAGGTCCAGACAACTACCCGGTTCCATTTTCTTCACTAGCTTTTCTTGTTTGCCCGTCGTTTCCTCGATTCCTTTCGCTGAGGTAAGATTAATTTGTGCACCACGTTCAGATTCCCCAAATCTTCTTCCTTCGCTGGTGACAGTCTCACTCGCTCCGTGATTTCTTCAATCAAACTCGCGTGTGGATGAGGGCACCAAGAGGGTCAGAGCAACTTACAAACAATCCCCAAATTTGTGACCAACATGTCTGTTAGAGTGCGGCCTGCTGATCACCACTAGCATATTCTTGAGTAACAGACTCCGTCGGATCGATCTCGATGGTTTTCTCCGTCCACAACTTCAACAATTCTGCCACCTCAAAATTCATGTAGGCAGTTCCGGCCTCCGAATCCAAAAAAAAGGTTGTAAGCTATTCCCATTACTCCAAACACATATTGATAATCTCCACGTTTTGTGGGTTTCGCATAATCTTCTGCTCGGACCAAGCTACGATGTACGTCGTGCCCCTCCTCGATTTTCTTGTTGTAGAACCTCCGTATTTCATCAAGTTTCCCATGGCTCTCTAGAGACTGCCTCGAGCTCTCTTCTTTTTCCGATTCCAGTGCCCTGGTGTACGTTCAAGATAAAAATGGAGACTCTCCTTTCCAATTTT